ATAAACAGGAGACGTACACTACATCACCATGTCTTTGTTGAAATTATCTGATTAACTCACAGTGTAAGGTGGGAAAACAAATTAACTCTTGAATTTATTAACTTAAAAGATCTCTGAACAGCAAAACCCTGTAGAAAAAATCCTATACAACTATTACCATTCATGAATATTTATAAATGATCTCATAACTTGCTTGATTATGGCTCTTCATATGGTTCATAGATCTTTATTTTGTGTTTGTTCTCTTAAAAAACTTTGAGTCATGACCATAAGGACATAAAGGTATTATAGAACCTTTTGTGGGGACCTGCAGATACCCTCATCTTAAAAGTTTCCTGATTGAGTTTGTGAGCACATTTGTTCAGGTTAAAGCTAGAACAGACAGATCTTACCTCTGGATGTCAGAGACGAGCCACCAGCCCCAAGCCCAGCCTCCCACAACATAAGTCTTCTGATCTGAGCCACAGCAGCCACCTTTGGAGCAACACATATAAAACACATCACATGGCTGCAATCAATGTAGCAAAAGGTCACATGCTGTTGTATGTGACTTTTTCAATATGACATCCAGTCTGGGTTCTTTTAAACTTTGTGCATAAACCACCCGAATTCATACTAATGCACACTTCTAACTCTAGAAGCAAATTTAATGCAAACCGAAATGAGTATCACTGTTTTGAAAAGGATCAATTAGTGACCCACTTTTCTGTTCTGCACTCAGTTTCTAAACAGGATCATGTGTAGCTTAAAGACAGAAAACCAAAAACCCTTCTCTCAATCTTCCAACCACATCACCCACAGCAGCTACGTGAGAAAGGTTCTCCAAAACAAAGCAGGTAAAGGGTGAAACACTCAACCTCTCATTTAAATACATCAGCCTCATGGAACCATTCTTTCTGATTTTGTGGGTTTGTTATTATTACAAACTGTGGATTCCAAGGACAATTAAAACTTATTATCCAGTTTTAATTGTGCAATAATAATCATCATTATTGTGATGCATTCTGTTTTGCAATAATTCTCGTTTTGCCTTTCAGCACAACCTCTCTCATTCTGCCTCACCAGAGTCCAAGTCCAAATTCTGCTAGGCTGCTGTTTAGTTCACTTGAATGTTAGTTTATATTTTATTAAGAGCAAGAAAATACATTTACATAAAAAAAAAAAATTTTGTTTTGAAGATATAAATGTATCCAGCAATCATGACTAAAATATGAAGAGACATGCTGCACATGTGGTGCAGCATGTGATTTCTCTGATAGCGGTTGTTCATTTAATTAACTATAACCTGTTGAGCCACCTCATCAGTAAGTTTGCAGAACCAATAAAACTATTTTCAATATTTTATAAGCCATTACCCTCCTAACCTCTAAAAATGACACTGACAAGAGTTTCCAAATGAGACTGAGTTAGGTTAGGCAGCCCCTTTCACTAGCCTCAGCTTCATGGTGTAATCATGAGTGATTAGTGTGACATTCTCAGCTGTCACATGATAACAGACAGAAAGGGGAGGATGGCCAGGAGTAGACTATCCTTATTAACACATACTTCCCTAACTCAGCACTTGTGTACATAAACCAGAAAAAGTACACACTATCCTTGGTAAAACTGTGAATACTGCGATACCATAACTAAGTTTGTCTGCAATACAGGACATCACGTTACCTGAATATTACTGTTTCTTACCTCAAAACCTTAAAATAAAATTTAATTTAAATTAAATTTGAACAAGAGGTCAAGATTTTTATAGTTTAAAACTAAAGTAAAATTAGAACTAGATGTGAAAAACATTTTAGTTGACTTAAAAAGTAAAAACTAGACTTTTTAAAAAAAAAGAAAAAAGAAAATAAACTAAAACAATTTTGTAAATGTTTAAATCTAACTAAAATAAAAAAATAGGGAGAAATAGTCTTAGTTTTAGTCATTTTTAGTTTAGTAAAATGTTATTACATGTTTTATTACTATTATCTTTTATTATTGATTTTATTACACGAGTCATTGGCTGTGTTTATTGATATTTTGGATGTGTAAAAGACTGCAAGTCAACGACTTTCAAAAAAATAGTGTATTTACTGTAATACCTGTACTGATTTTCCTAAATCTTGCCTCTGACATATGCCCTTTATACAATAATAACTAAACAGACGAAAACTAGCACTGAAACGAATTAAACTAAAATAAAACTAAACATTTTCACACAATAAAAACTGAACTGAAACAAAAAAAATCCACTCTGGTAACAAACTGAAACTAAACTGATTTAAAAAGTCAAAATGGAATAAAAATAAAAAAATAAATTGGAAAAAAACAAAACTATAGTAACTCTGGTCTGGTCACATGATTATCAACATACTGATTTTATGGAGGAATGCTGAAGCGACAACTATCCTGCTAATGCATTCATTCTAGTCAATAAGTCAATAAACCACGTCAATAAATGACACTAATCCTTTACCAGCTTCAGTTTTCTTGACAAAAAGCCATGCATATCCTAAATCACACTATGGAGAGATGGTGGCATTAATATACAATTGAGGCCATGAAAAGTACGTTGTGTTTTGGCCCCTAAACATGTAAACAGCAAAGCTATTTCTTTTCGACATCCGAGACTAATCGGGTCATAGGATCAGGATGTGCAACTCACACCCACTCAACTTTGCTCTTAATCAACATTCCTCGAAGTGATGAATTACATGCTGGTTTTTGCACAATGGAAAATCCCAAAGTTGTTATTTGTTTATCACAAGAGAATCAGACAGGAAACGGCACTTAACGTTTCAGTTACAGAGGCGTGCTGGACATCTTTCCTGCAACACGTTCCCAAACCGTAGTTTGAACCTACAGTAGGATTCTCAAACAATCAATAGCGAATGCATGAAATTATTATTATCTGGTTCTAATATTTGTTTTGTTTTCTACATGGCCAGTAGCTTTTAAAATTTTAAGGACTATATTGTGTGCCCTGTGTTATGGGTATTAGAAACATCAGTGATGACAGACGCAGTCTGCAAATCCAGGAGCGTGCACAAGCCCTTCCCTCAAAATTCAATTAATCCTGCTGTAGTCCTGTAGGCCAAGAGTACCAGTGAGCCACCAGTGCAAATAAACATCAAGGCCAGCTTCGTGTGGTCCTGTTCCTACCCTGTTACATTACGCTAGTTTGACTCTTACTAAAATGATCATATAAAGCCAGACTCGTGAGCACACATGTAGAAACCGAAATATAAACAGCGGAAACCAAAACCATCTAAAGGCTGCTTGACAAACTAGTATTCGTACTTGAACAAGCGTCACTGCAATCGGATGAAATACTGCAATAATAGAGTATTAACAGAGGAAATCGGCGGACTTAGAATATAAATTATCTGGGGAAAATACAGAAAGACACACACGCTGGCTCGTCCACTTATTAACAAATTTCGACCTATCTGTCCAGATACATGTACTCCCGTCAACATGTGAGAAAAGAAAACATGGAGATGCGTCTGATTTCCCATCGAGGCACGGATCGCGGGGCTGTCGCCCGCTTTAGTGCTTCAAATGGTGATTTTACCGTGATATTACAGGTCACGTTATTTTCTATTTTATAATACACATAATAAAAGCTATTAGTTGCTTTTCGTATAATGGCTATATTAAACATTTTTTCGTTTCTTCTACTTCAGCGACCCTGAAGCGCCAAGCAGCTAAACACACATCGACCACGAAGCGTTTACGTTACCTGAAACCACAAGGGCCTCGTTTGGTCCAACGGTATGACAGTTTCCCATTTCAGCAGCAGAAAAAACGTGTATCCACACCTTTTCGACGCATACAAAACTCACTTAGTTTTTTTGAAACACCGTTTGCTCCTTTTTTCCCACTATCTATAAAATATTTCTCTCACGCCCCTACCGACGATTCCTTTTTTCTTTTTTCAAAATGGAGATTTTTACTTTGTAGTTGCGTCACGCTATACTTAGTGAGACACTGTACTTCCGCTGATAAATTTTCAAAATAAAGTCATGTTTGCAAACCTGTTTGGTGAATACCGGTTTAAATTAGCCATTTGGTTTTATTTTGAATGTTACTTTGCTCTACTTATGTGCTTGTTTTGCTGCCACTTGACTCACGTGACCACATCTCTCCCTGCCTTCTTTGGGGCCCCTCCTCTCCGGATCATAACAGTATAGGCGTGATTGTTTAAATGTCTTCTCACGCAAATAACCAAAACAACACTCGCTGTAATTTGCAAGAAACACTCATACTGAGTGACCATGTCACATGATATCACATCCGGGCACGTGAGCAGAAGCCAACCAAGAAATTATGTTGGTCATTTCTCCTTCTAAAATATGTGCACTTTCTATATATCCCTGCAATCTTGCAGTACTGTGCAAAAAGCTCTTGGAAAATGAGAGATAAGAGCAGTGAGTCATTGAAACATCTGCAAATATATACTGTAGTATATAAGGTAAAATTATTTTTACCTTATATTACATCTCTGTTGAATGTTGGGTGCTTTTTAGTCCATTCTGCCAAGATGATCCCACACTGCTTGAGTTATGTTGAGGTCTGGGCTCTGGGAAGGCTCAGGCCATGACTGATAGAGCTCCACTGTGGTTTTTTTTGTTTTGTTTTGTTTTGTTTTTTTTGCTGTGCACGTATCCGTTTACTCTTTTACTGCAATAGCAGTGTGTTTGGCATCATTATGAAAAGTTAAGCCAGTGTCACGCAGATGCTTTTCGGCTGGTATTGCACAGTGCATTAGAATCTAAAAGTACTTTTCTTTATTCATAATTCCATCAGTTTTGACAGGATCCTCAGTATCACTGGCTGAAATGCTGCCTCAAACCATGAAAGTACTGTGTATTACAGTTAGCCATTGACAGTCATACCCCTGAGGATGATTTCAACCAATAAGTTTCAAATTTGTGTCTGATTTTTAGTTCTGTTCTCGTGTAATCAGGTCTTTGTAGACCTGATTACATGTCTTTTCACACAAAATGGAAACAATCAGGAAATGGCAACCAGGAAGTAAAGCTAATACAGGACACCACAGAAAATTAAATACAAAGTCAAAGAGGAAATAACCAGAACTGAGAAGGAAATACTGAAGGACCACCAAGACTAAAAACAGGACAAGCAGGCAGTGCTTGCCTTGTCAAATCTAAAAATAAACATCAAAAACCTACTAAAGTTAAAAAATTAAAAAAAAACCCTCTCCTTTCATGCTCTGTCATAAAACCTGTGCCTGTTTTCATCTATCTTTTACATCACTGCCATCTTGTGACTGTAGTTGGTTGTTGTCGATGGAAGCCGCTTGTTTTGGATTCCACTGGACATTGTAGTGGCTTCATTTCACAGGCGTGTCTATCTCACATTAATGATGGCCAGCAGCAGTTTATGGTTGTTTGTGCATTGTTGCAATGTGCCGCTGGCTCTACTTTTACTGCTCTGAGATCAATTAGGAGCCCCGCTTTGTGTGGAAACAGAGATAGGAATCGCAATTAGATGAGTCTCTGTGATTCATTATTGGTAAAATATAAGTTTTACTTTACTTAACCACCTTGAATAATGTGTGATGTAGAAAAGATGGAATGCAGTGTGAAAAAGTTTTCACTAACTTCTTCAGCATGTTAGCAAGGAAAACCTTGAAGATGATGAGGAGACCTCAACTACAGTTTAACAAAACAGGCAAGTTGAACAGTTGCAGGCTCAGCCAGCACTTTGAGATTATCATCTCCGAGAAATCACTTAATTGACCAAATGCTCATAGTACAAGAGTTCATGAGTATTTTAACCCCCC